TGGCCATTGTGCGCTGGAAATGAAGCAAGGAATCTCATTGTGTAACCATTCTTAGGTAGCGCGTGCTGAGTGCGATGGTGCTGAGTCCTGTTGGATTGTCCAATACCATAGCCGGCGCTTGTGTTCTGGTGGCCAACCGAAGGTGTACATTTTCAGCTGACCTCTTTGGCAAGTAAACACGGTCATGTTGTTTGTTTACAGACTGCTGGACAACGAATGTTTTCTCATCGGAGAAACACTTTAGCTCTTTTGGGTCTATTTTCTTTCTGTTGCGGTGTAAGTTATTGCACTTTTTGGAATTTCAATGGCATTACCCCGAGCTCATTTTTCAATATTTGACGAATATGTTCAGCTCACGAGCCATTTTTTGGCCACTGTGACGCTTTCTGCTGATGTTGCTGTTTTCTTCCGTCCACTTCCTTGACGTCGGGCTACGCTACCAGTATCACAGTAACGAGCGATGGTACGAGACACAAAAGATTTATTTACATTTAAATGCTGGAGTGCTCTAACGATAGCCACTTGTGGTTTTCCAGCCAAATATAATGAAATCACTCTAGAATTCCATCACGAATAACTTTTTTTCTGGAGAATTCTCGCAAAATGCTTTTGTACGCTTGTAAACAGTACAATGAGCAATCGGACGAGTGGCTTAGAAATGACAGCAGTCTGAAGTTGGTTACAGTTTTTTCATCTCACCCTGTAATGTTCGGAACAGTTACTATAGCCTACGACAAAAATTACTTATGCAGGTATTATACGACGGATTTTTTTTTAATTTTTCAAATTTCTTCCAAATGTTGCAGGGTATAAAAAGTTCGACCCGGCCTAACTTAGATGTTTTTTTACCTATTTAAAATTAAAATGTGCAAATTCCTTCCAAATGGTAGAGGTTATTCAAAGTTCGACCCAGTCGAACTCGCTGCTTTTCCACTAGTTTTTTTTTTATTTAATTTTAATTTATTATAGCAATATTCTAAAGCAGAAATAACATATACTGCTTATATATAGTACTTAAAGACATATTTCAAAAAGTGTTATGTTCCAAAAATTGGAAGTTATTAAATCTACATTTTTTACCTCCCCAAAAACTTACAATTTTAGAAATCTACTTTATGACAGCATTATCTCAAAGCTTTTACCAAAAGTCTATATGCGGAAATTCTTGATTGCATAAGAAATACTGAATTATTGAAACTAGTTACCACTTCTTGGCACCCCTTTAATACAAATACTCATACACAAGTCTTTTTCGACCCCTTTTCCATATTAACAAAATTTCCTCTAACACTACACTTCTAAAAATTTTAACTTTTTCAAAGTTTTCGCACAAATAGTATCTAGATTCATACTCTAAAAGAAATAGAAACTCGTTTTAGTACTTAGAACCTCTTTCATACACCTTGCAGTCTTTCACAAAAAAAAATGATCGACATGATTATTTTTGGAAATCCGGCCTTAAACATTCGCACGATTTTGTTAGTTCCGAAAAAGTACGATTTTTAGAGTCTAATTGTACAGAAACTTAGTGCTTTGCAGACAAGCCCATATATCAAATTTATATCTAACCGTACAATATTTAGTACCATCTTGTACTATTTTCCAAAAACTATACCTTATTAATGTTTTACACCAATAATACGAAACGTCAAGATCTTTACTCTAAAAGTACAAACTATTGGTTTCAGAATCAATTTTTTAAAACATTTTTAAATCTAGTGGTACATTATTTAGTATATGTTAGTACTAACTTCCGAAAGCTTCATCTACTTATACAAGGTGGTCAGGGTATTATGTCTTTGTGCATTTGTTTGCAACAGGCAAAAGGAAACGAGATAGACCCATAGTTCCTTTTGATGATCTGCATAAAATCACATTCTGAGTCAATTTGTACGTATCCGTCCGTCCGTCTGTCCATGTATTTTTGTAAACAAAGTACAGTTCACATTTATTGCCCGATCCAGATGAAATTTTGCGCAAATCGTTTGTTTGACGATCTCCTATTGAAATTGGAGATAATCGGCAACAATTTACACATAGCTCCCATATATATCTTCGTCCGATTTGCCTTTAATTGTGCACCAAACGTGTAAAATCAGCCCGATTAGTATGGAATTTTGCACATATAGCCAAATTAGGCCTGCAAATATGTGTGACAAATTTGATCGAAATCGGTTCAGATATAGCTATAGCTGCCATATATATTGTTCATCCGACTTGTTATTTTTGACCTCCGCAGCCGTAATATGCACTCACTAACAAAAATATTTGGGGAAATATATCAAATACAGCTTAGAAATACCTTTGCTCAATTTTATCGAGTTCAGATTTAGATATATCTCCCATATATAACTTCGTCCGATTTACCTTAAATTGTGCACCAAACGTCTAAAATTTGTCCAAATGGGATGGAATTTGGCACTTATGACCGAATTGAGTCTAGAAGCTAGTATGCCAAATTTGGTGAAGATTGGTTCATATATATATTGTTCAACCGATTTGTTATATTTGTTACCCACAGCCGTAATATGCACTCCGTAACAACAATATTCAGGGAAATATATCAAATACAGCTCAGAAATATCTTTGCCACATTTTACCAGGATCGGTTCAGATTTGGATATAGCTCCCATATATATCTTTATCCGATTTCAAATTAATTGTGCACCAAATGGGCATTAGAAGTCCGAATTTAAGAGATACAAATGCTTCGGCATATTTAGTCGTTTGGACTTTAAATTATAATTATAATCATGCCATGTATGATTGAATTCTCCTATAAAAACTTTTAATAGTTATGTGAAGCTCTACTAAATTAGCAAAGTGGTGTAGGTTATCATAAAGTCGGCCTCTACCGACTTTAGGACTTTCTTTAATATTTTTTTTTTTTGTTTTTATATCAATAAAGCGAAATATCGGCACATTTTTTCTAAAAGTACAAAATTAGATTCCAATCCAATTTTTAATACATTTTAATAGTTAGTACCTTTTTGTACAGATTCCCATACACAAAGCAGTTTATCAACCCCTCACACCAGAACTCATATTAAAATTTAATTTTGGAAAACATTTCCTTTGCTTAACAGTCAAATTTCGAGTCATTTTAACACCATTAATAACAACATTTAAAAAAGCGAACATTATCTGATGTTCGCACCAAAGGATACCTACTTTCGAAATTTCAAGATTTTAGCTGTAACACATTAGCTGTAACACATCGGTTCAGATTACCTTTTTACCGTTTTATATATATTTATTACATATGGCTACAGAGGGTATATATCATTTGATACGGTCAAAACGTGCCTAGTCGAAATAACGGTCTTAGACCCCAGGTATCTTTGGACCAAATCCGTTTCAGAACATTTGGAATCGATCTAGCGAGGTCCGTCTGTCTGCCTGGCTGGCTGGTGCGCACGATCACTCTCAAAGGTAGTATCCGATTTGGTCCAAACTTGGGACATTGTAATATTTTTGTCAAACTTAGATCGAGTTCGAAGATGGACAGTATCGGTCCACTCCATCAAGTACCTCCCCCACAAATGGTCAAAATTTTGAATAATGACAACTCTCATAAAATGTGACGCAAGATCCCGATTGTCGTCAAATTTCAGACATCCCAATATTTTTATAAACTTAAGATCTGGTGTTACGATGAAATATATCGATCAACTCCTCCTGGTACCTCCCCACAAAAAGTCGACATTTTGAATATCCATTAAGCTCATAAAACACGATATTAAAATCCGCTTCCATTTAGACTTGGCACATCTGAATATTAATATCAACACATGATCTGTTATAAAAACGGTAGAGATTGGACATTTCCTTCTGGTACCTCCCTCACAAAGGCTCAAAATTTTGAATATCCGTGAAGCTCATAAAAAGCGAAATTAACATCCGATTCCATTTCCACTTGATACATGTCCATCAACACAAGATCTGGTAAAAAAATGGTAGAGATCGGACCATTTCTTTTGCTACCTGCCCCACATAGGGTTTGAAAAACAAAACCCTCAAGATCTGTTGTGAAGACGATATCTCGTCGATATCTGGTACCTCACCACTAATTTTCAATACTTTTATCTGTCATCATTTGTGGAACGAGTCATCGATTCTTTACAACTTGATATATCTACATATTTCTCTCAACCAGAAACTTAAGATGAATATGGAATTTATGATTTCCCATAAATTGGATCTAAATGTTTGATTTGCTTGTAATTTTGCCCACACCAAATTTTTTATATGTATTATATAAAGCATGAAAATGGAATACTTCGGTCAACTATATCTGGTATCTCAAGCACATTTCAACATTCTCTAAAATGTATCATATATTTAATTTAAAGTAATGGAAGTAGTCAATATAGTCCAAACTGGGCACGTCGCAATATTTATTTTCATCAATATTAACCCACTCCATAGAGGGTCGGTAATTTAAATAATCATAACAGAAGTCAAAATATATTTAAATAATCGAGCCTTGGTTGAGGGTATACATCCGTCGGCAAAACCGACTGATATTTTCTAGCTTGTTGGTACTAATTTCTCCAAATACAACCTTATCTGATATATCGCATCATCATGCGTGCTAATTTGAAGCTATGTCATCCCTACACGAATTATATCCTTTTTTAACCGGTTTCAAAATGCATTTCTCTCGTAGTTACTCTATAACAGAGAACATACACATATTGACCGAAACTAATCCTGTGTGCACGTACATATATGTGCAAAATTTTTTATCTATTTCTTTTGAGATAATATATGTCGACTGCGTCTACTGATTCATGGTGCTATAGTTATTTCTTCCAAATCAGTTACGCCGCAATTTACAAAGAAACCTACGTCAGTCAGCTCGCTTTCAGAGTCATTAAAAACGATCACAATAACTGACTGAATAGCAAAGTGATCTTGTAAATCATGATCTTTTCTACAGACATACATATGCATACAGCAAGAAACTATTCATTTTTTTTTACTTTTCTCTCCCCTAGTTCTGGCCATAAAACTGCTAAAGCTGAACAATCCACTTCGGCAACACCATCCACAGCAGGCACCGCATCGCAATCCTCGTCGTTGTCGCCTTTAACATCACCACCAGCAACGGCAGCATCAGCCACAACCACAACATCATCCACATCAAGCGCCACTACATCAACCTCAACATGTACCTCCTTAAATGACAACAAAATGCCGCCAGAGCAACAGCGGCGTCAAACCGAACAACTTGCAAAACAACAGCAGCAACAGCCTCAACAGCAGCAGGGTCTTGTAACATTTACGATTTTAATTGCCATCGAAAAGTCGCAACACCTGTGCGTAATCGATTTAATTAGCCAAAGTTTGAGACTCCTTACACGACACATTGCTCACTGCCATATATTGGCGGTTTGTCTCGATACGGGTCTAATCCAATCGCCGAAAATCGAAAATAGCAACGACGTTGCAGTGAACGCTAACAAAGCTGCTGCAGCCGTTGCTACAAATGATGACGTAAAAACGTCTGACATTAAGAGTGACAAAACGTCAGCTACGACGGATACAAATGGCAATTGGCGATGTCAAAAGGTAAGTACAGTATAGGCCTCTTACAGGCGATTTATAAGTATTCGATAGCAAACTATCTAATGACCAAATAATTACAATAAGTTCATTCTAACACAAGTAACTACTTACAAAGCAGACCAGTAAGGCCTTATTTTAACAATGACATGACATTGGAAGAAATTATTTTCCTAACAGCCACCAAGATAGATAAGTTCCAGTAGATAAGTTCCAAAAAGGAATCGTTTTATTTTTTAAAAAATTAGAATTAAATTTCAAACGGAATTAAGAAGTGTATTAAAATTGTACTCAAATGCATTATATTCTTACAAAAATTGTAGACCCCGCAGTTATATACCAATCGACGCGGAATATAGCATGGGACTTGATTTTAGGGGTGGGCAGAAGCCTAATATTTGGTTTGTTCATCGGACAATATTTAGCGGTTAAAATGGACTATAACTTTTTGGTGAAAAATTAGGAAATTTTCCACTAAACAGCGAATGTTTTTAATCACAAATGCTCTAAAATGTCACTTCTGGCCGTTACAGTGATACTGATAGCCAAAATATTGGGTACATAGCAAAATAGTTAGTTATCCCGCTTATAAGTCAAGAACTGCTGGACTTAATTTGACAATTCTCACCAATTAGGAATATTGGCAGAAAAGGATAAAATCGCGCAAAAATATGCCAATGAAAAAGTGAATATTTTTTGTCAATTTTTTATCGCATGCGATTTTTTCATATTTAACGTACAATTTTGAATTGTTTATTTTCAAAAACTTTTCTCCACCCTAGAACACGATGTGGAGCGTTAGGGTCAGCAAAAAAGCCAATTGTTTTAACGATGTATATATAGGGGTTCAAATGGACCAAAAAAATAAAATTTTAATGATTTTGCAGACCCTCTACGGGTAGCAATTAAAAACCCAATGGATACAGAATTTTGTACGAGAAGAGAATTAGAAACAAGGCAGAAGTCTAGAATTTGGAAATTGATTTTTTACGTGAAATTGTTTTGAATACGCATCAGAATGACAGATAATATAGGAGAACTGCCCCGGTCAAAAACCAGGGGTAACATTTGTGCAGGCCTATATATCATTATTTAAAAAAAATTGACTAAAATTGGTTGGACCTAAGGAGGTTTTGCAATATATTGAAGTGTTGTAGGGTATCGCGAGGTGTGCTTCTTACGGCTATAGCCTTGGCTTACTTGTTACCATCATAGTATGGAGGGTATATTACGTTTGTCATTCCGTTTATAACACCTCGAAATATACATTTCAGACCCCCGTCTGTCTGTCTGTGGGAATCACTCTAGCTTCCGAATGAAATGAAATAAGTTTGTTAAAATTTTACTCAAATCTATATTATGTCTGCAGGACTTTTGGTATTGAAAATGGGCCACGTAGGTGCACGTACCTCTCGATATTCGGTACTTTGTTGATTTCAGTGACATTATTCACCGGAATTGTTTCAAATTTGGTATTTGAAGTTCGTAATGGATACTACAGCCTATGACAGAAAATTATCTGTGCAGGTCCCCGTCTTCGTAAAGCCACCCTATATTCGGTATTTTGATTATTTTAGCTACATATAAACATTCCAAGCTTCGCATTTAAATATTGTAATAGCTTACAACAAAAATTGCCTATGCAGGTCCACGTCGTCGTATAGACCCTATTATTACGGCTACATTCGGTATTTTGAAGATTTGAACAGATTTTTTAACGAATTTTATTTTCTCGAAAATTGCAAAATTCGTTCCAAATGGTGGAGGGAATTCGAAGTTCGGCACGCCCAAACTTTTAGCTTTTTTACTTGTTTTTAATAGCTTTGTTTACGATATTTTCTTTCCAGTGTAAGTGTAACTTGCAAAACTTATGAAATTATGAATATACTAGTGTTCGCTGCTTCGTCAGCGAAAAGTCCACCTTAGAATTTTCGTTGTAACAATTCGTGTTAGGCGCTTTTAGTTTTGGCCAAATCATATATATTTTCGGCCGATCCGTGTATTTGATCCGTTAAACTAGCAATGTATGCTAAATTTCAATGAAGTTTGAAATATGTGACGGAATTAGGTCTAAAAATATTTTTTATCAAATAGAACAGTGTTGGCTTGTTTTTTCGGGATACCGTAGTATTTTGTTGTTGCAAAATGGTCAGGCTTTATCCCTTTATTGTTGTTTTTATAAAAACAATGTTAGTTTATTAGTGAAGAACGATGGTAATGTTTACCAGGGGGTAAGGCAGGGAATACCTAGGTTTCGGAAAGAGCCACCAATCCTCATCAGTTCCCTTGTTTTTTTTTTTTTTTTTGTCTGGGATATTCTCCCCAGAACTTATTTTAAAAATAACTTCCATGACAAAAAAAAAACATTTTTTTTACCCAAATTTTGTCAAATTATATTGAAATCGGTTCAGATTTGGATATTATTTCATACCGAATAGTACATATTTCCAAAATCACCCCCATATCTTAATCAAAGACATATATCAAGGCTATACATGTACAGCGACACTAATACAAAATTTCAGATTTCAAGCACTATCTGTTCTCCCAATACTAAATTGTACCAAATATAGTATTATTTAGCACATTTTCAAAACCACCACCACCAGGGACGACAATACAAAATTTCAAAATTCCAGCTTCATTCGTTATCCCCAACCTCAAATTGTACTTACTTTAGTACCATTTAATACACTTAGTACATATTTCCTTTCTTATATCAACCCTACTTCCCCAACTTATGTCATGTTTACGTTAGAACTTTTTGTAGGGTTAACCTACTTTGAGAGGATTTATTTGAAGTATAAGTAATGGATATGACAATTTTTATCCAAATCCAGTCGGTTAACCCATTTATATATAAACGTACTGTTAATTATGTTACCAAATTCTAGATTTTAGCTCTATACTTTCACATAATGCCAAAATGGTAACAAATTAGGTGCTTTTTAGTACATTAAGTGCGCTTTTAGTTCTAAGAACTTAAGGAACTTAAGGACATCTATCCTACAACAATTTTTAGTACCTTTCTATGTTTATAAATTTTATAATACCAATATTACCAATTTTTAGTACCTTCCTATATTAATAAAAGAATAATGTAATTAAATGATTGACTGAATTAACGATTCATCAACGTCCAGACGAAACGGCTGAAATTTTGGGTGAGGATCACTCTTGTTCCGTAAGTGTCAGATATGGAAATTCGTACTTGAATGGTACGAAAAGTACTAAAAGGTACTAAATATGATACCCTTTCTTGACGGTCACTGATGTAGTATATGATGGATATACCAAAGGTTTACAAAAACCCCGCATTATAAGTTTACAAAAATCCTAAATTGTACTATATTTGGCACCATTTCGTACCATGTGAACGGTTAGAGTTAAAAACTTAACGGCAAAACAATTCGAATTTGTAGAAACGGATGGAGCTAGAATCCAGAAATTTGAAATTTACATTGCTGGCGGAGAGCAGGATTGGGATATGGAGGTAGTTTTCGAAATTTGTGCTTATGTGCACGCAAAGTACAAAATGGTATTAAATTTTATACAATTTCGATTAGGGTGAACCGATAGAGCTGGAATGCTGTAATTTAGATTACTATTGGAGTGTTGGTTTACGTTATGCAGGAAGTTTTGGAAATTTGTACTTATGTGTATTACATTTGGTACAATGTGTATTTGGTCGAAACTATGGAATCCTGAAATTTTGAATTGGGATTACTGTGAGAATGTATGATTGGGGTATGTTGAAAGCTTAGAAAATTCGTACTTAAATAGTACTAAATTTGGTACAATTTGGATTTGGTTAAAACTATAGGGCTGGAATCCTGAAATTGGGAAATAAGATTTCTGTTGGATTGTATGATGCAGGTTGTTACGAAAATTTGTACTTATGGGTACTAAATGGTACTAAATTTGGTAAAAATTGGAATTGTGGTGAACCGATAGAGCTGGAATTCTGAAATTTGGAAATAAGATTTCTATGGGATTGGGTGATTGAGGCATGGAGGTAGTTTTGGACATTTGTACTTATGTGTACTAAATTAGGTCCTAATTGGATTTTGGAATAAATACTACAACTAAAATGGTACAAAATTTAGTATTGATTTAACGGGTAAAGTTAGATTTCTTAATTTCGGTGATGGAGTCAGAATTGGTGTGTAGTGTTGAGATATGGAGATTGTTTTGGAAGAACCTAGCGTAGATGTACACAAGTTACCATATGGTAACAAAATTTGGTATTGAGTGAATGCATAGAGCTGAAATACTGAAATTTGATATAGATGTAACTGTCAGTGGTTGAGGTAAGGAGATGGGTTTGGAAATGCGTCCTATATTATAAGTGGTACTAAATTTGGTATTGGGTAAAGGGATAAAACTGAAATTCTGAAATATGATATTGACGTAGAAATAATTTTGGACAGAAAATTTGATGTGGTCCATAGTGCAAATGTAGCAAAACAATTAAAGATTTTTAATTTTTTTTTGGGGTCAAAAAGTAAACATTTTTTATTATTCTTTTCGAAAAATACAAAAACTTGAAAATATACAAAACCTTTAAAGTCTCAAGAATTGGGACAATGTATGAAGTTATGATTGAAAAAATTTGTCAAACTTAACAAACTGTGCATTTTGAGTACTACAAAGGCCTAACACGAAATGTTGAAACGAATCTAAAATTATAAGGTGGACGAAGTTGCGGACACTTGCTATAGGTCGAATTTTCGAATTTTTTGTGCTATAGTTCGAATTTTCAAAAACCCAAACATATCGCATCGCTACACCCAAGATTCTAGCTTCAGCCGTTTCGTGTGGGCGTCGATGAATCAGTTAGTCACTCATCACTCAATATATACATATATATACGAAGGCGGATTGACCAGATTGAATCCTAATTTCCTGAAACAGATTTCGTCTAAAAATACGCAGGTTCTAAAACCGTTATTTCGCCAGACATTTGTCAAACAACACTGTCACCTACCTTTTTCTGCCGCCCGACT